CAATGCAAAATAAAAACATTAAAAAAAAAAAGAATATATGAAGTTTAAAATAAATCAAAATAATAGATTCAATTTTTATTTTAATTAAAAATATGTGGCATCACTCCTAGGTATACAGCCAAAACACTTGAGAAAACAATAGTCACTGCACCATTATTCACAGAACCCAAAAGATGAATAGTACATAGCACCCAAGTATCCATCAACAGATGTCTGGCTCAACAAAATATGGTAAATATCCATACAATGGAATACTGCTCAGTCATAAAGAGAAATGAAGTTCTGATACATGCTACTTGATGGTAAACTTTGAAAACGTTATGATAAGTGAAGTAAGAAAGACAAAAAAGACTACTACTGTATGACCCCACTTACCTGAACTATCTAGACTAAGGAAATATAAGAGACCAAAGTCTTCAGTGCTATCAGGGGCTGAGGGAAGGAGGCGGGAGTTATTACTTAAGGGATACTGAATTTTGGGAACAGTGGTGATAACTGCATAGTAGGCTGAATGTACTTAATGTTTTGTTATATGTATGAATTTTATCACAATATAATTAAAAAACATATCTACCCAAAGACCTATACAGTCATCCCTGGTATTTGCAGAGGATGGGTTCCAGGACCCCCCACAGATACCAAAATCTACAGATGCTCAAATCGCTTATGTAAAATGACATCAGATTTGCATTTGAGGGGGCTTCAGAAAGTTACTGGGAAAATGGAAATCAAAGATAATGGGATTTTTCTACGAACTATTTGAAACAACCTCTTATAACCTATGCACATGCTCCTGAATACTGTAAATCATCTCTAGATTACTTATAATACAATGTAGCAGCTATGTAACTAGCACTTTTTGCTCCCTTTTAGCGTTTGAGGGATTGCTTCTACCACTTCACTGTTTTTTTTCCTCCTGGATATTTTCAATTCACAGTTGGTTAACTCTGTGGATGCAGAGCCTGTGGATACAGAGGGCTGACTGTGTATGTGTGTTATTACACACATATACATATGAAATATCCTTTCAATATATATTTATATGAAATACAGAAATATATACACATATATCAATATATAAGGATCCCTGGTGGCATAGTGGGTCACTCATTGTCTGCTAATCGCAAGGTCAGGAGTTTGAATCCACCAGCCACTCCGCAGGAGAAAAGTGAGGCTTTCTGCTCCCGTAGATATTTACAGCTTCAGAAACCCTATGAGTCAGAACCAACCCAATGGCACATAATAACAACAGCTATCTATCTGGTGGTGGCTGTGTGCCGTGGAGTCGGTTCCGACTCATAGCGACCCTGTACAGGGTTTCCAAGCCTGCAAATCTTTACGGGAGCAGAGAGCCTCATCTTTCTCCATAGCTATCTATCTATATACGTATTTATCAGTATATATTTACAGCAGTGTTGTCTATTAGATTAAAAGACCCAAAGGACATGATGAATTCTCACTTCTAAATTATCATGCCTGGGATTAGTGACTCAACCCCATGTCAGGATCCTCTTTTACATCTGGTTAGATTTCTCAACACAGAAGTGGCTCTCACCCCCTAAGCCAGGCCGGGTATCCCAGGCACCACAGCATCTTCTTGGGTTTGGAGACAGAGACCGTTTCTGGAGGCTGGCTGAGGGCCTGGGGTTGAGCGAGAGCAACTTCCCAAGCACTAAGGCAGAATCTTCTGGGTACTTCATAGATGGGGCCTGAAACACTGGACAACAGTCCATGGGCTCTTTTGGGACTTTAGCTATACCATCACCGTCTGATAAGGTAAACAATAGCACAAGGGAACATAAAGTGGAGAAGGATATGGTAAAACATTATTGCAAGGCCTCAATGTAACAAAATCACTAATATTACAGGTATTTATTGCCTGCCTTCCTCAAAAAACAACAATAAAAAACCCCATCAAATATATATATATATATACATATATATATATATCATTTGATCCATTAACCCAGAAAAAAAGACAAAAGGAAAAATTCCTATCAAAGACCCTACAAACTAAAGAAAGCCAGAGGAAATATAAAGCTGTGTGCTGCTTTATGAATCTGAGGAACTGGGGCAAAGACCACACTCAGAGAATTACTAGTTCTCACTGTCTGGTGTAAGCATACAAGATCATCAAGAAATGTTCCCATCCCTGAGCTCTCAAGGAAATATGTCATAGAGTCTCAGAGAGCTCATACAATTTAAATACTCACAGTCTTGGGATCTGCACCAAACCAAAGGAATCAACTCCTATGGTCACTGTCCAACTAGGCCATGAAGCCCAAATTCTGAAGGTCCTAGCAGTTGACACAAGTTTACTTCCTTATGTGTGGTTCTCTAAGTGTAAATGAACTGGAGTATCCTAAACTTCAAAAATAATCCACCAGTTGCTATTATTATTTGTTGTTGTTGTTAAGTACCATCAAGTAGGTTCCAACTCATAGCAACCCTGTATAGGGTTTCCAAGAAAAGGGTTTGAACCTTGCAGTTAGCAGTCCAGTACTTGCTTCACAGTACCACACCAGGACTCCCTGTTATAGTAGAAGGGAAAAAGTGGGTTGATATTTCTTTATTCCATTAGCACAGTTCATGGTGTGATTTCACTCTAAGAAGGTTCTCTATACCGCTCAAAAGTACTAATAAAGTCACCCTAAGGCGCTGTGGGTTAATGCGCCAGACTGCAAAGCCATTTGAACTGCAAGGTCGGCGGTCCAAGCTCACCAGCTGCTCCTCAGAAACCCTATATAGGGTTGCTATGGGTCAGAACCGACTCGACAGTACTTAACAACAAGAACTAAAGAATGACCAGCTTCCCCACGACATGATCAAGCATCTACTCACCACAATGATATCAGGATCAATTTTGTGAACCTTTGCAAGGAAAAATCCTAGCAGTGTTCTTTCTGTTGCAGCAACCTCAACCTTCAAGTTCTGTTAGATAAAAACATACCAGTCATTTACTCTTCACCCTCAACTGCTGCACCTTGGCTCCTTTTCAACTAGAGTATGATTTCTTGGGGTTAAAAGAAACCATACATTTCAAATCTATAGAAACTAAAGGCAGCAGTGAAATTCCTCATTCTAGTCTTCACAGTAATAATTGCACAAGTCTCTGAGACGCTCATTCTAGTATTAAGCATGTGAATGAAGGGAAATTTTAAGTGCTGAGTGACATCAAGTGCAGAAATGTCCCTCCACTGGAACACGCCTATACATCCGGACACATTTTCTAGCTATGAATCAGAATATCCATCCAAAAATATGACTTGCTTTCCTATACAATCCCTGGTAAGTTTATGTATTTGCCACACAAAGAAATCCCAACAACTGTAGAAATTCATCTAGTTCAAAAATCTACAAGTAAAAAACTAGACTATAAACAAACATACATTAAAGATCACAAGTATCTTAAATATAAATAAAGTACATTATCATATAAAAGACTTCCACTTGGATTACTAAATAGAAATCAGGTACTTAAAACGTACACTTATTTAAAATCTCTTAAAATGAAAGTTGATGGGTACATGTTTTCTACAACTAAGTTGGTTTTAAAAAAAAAAAAAAATCAATGTAATTCGAATGGAATTTTCCTAGGTCATTTTGTTTGGATCAGCAATTCAGGCCACATCACAAATAAATAGCCCTGATCTCTGCGTTCTAAGTAATCTAGTTCCCTAGACTACTGGTCTTCTCAAGCCCATTTAAAATAAGTGGAAACTGAGAAGGTTGCTAATATGACCATTAAACAAGAAAACTACAAATTTACCAACAACATCATTTCATAAAAGAAACAACATAGTCTACAAAAGTTCTTTACATTAAATCTATTTATATTTGTGAAAAACTCACTAGATTGGGCTGCTTTTTCTTTCCATTTCACCAAGGACCTGTGAAAACTTCATGGAGCATGCTGGGAGTTTAGAGATCACTGATCAAATATGGCCAGTCCACAGCAACCTTTCCATACATGTCCCTTAAATAGCCACAATATTCCCAACTTCACTTGGCTTCCTTCAAGCTGGGGAGGGGCTCTATCCAAAACCTTCTTTAATGAAACATCTAAACACTGTTAAATAATGTTTCTAACTTAATATTTCTAGTACACTTTTGAATGGGTTATTGCCATAGTCCAATCTGACAAGAACAGACTTAATAAAGGGACATACAAAATACACTGCTCCTACTAATTCATACCATCCTCCTTTTGTCTTTTCAAACAAATAAATCCTTCATATTCAAAAGAAATAAGTAATAAGTTCTTTACCTTTTTCATAATGACTTCTTTGAAATCAAACGGGAAAATACAGTCCTTTGGTTTAGACACAACTGTGAGAGAAAAAAATCAAAAGATTCTAACATCACTGCATGTTTTCAAAGGAAAACTATATCAAATTTAGATCAAGTCCTCCCAGTCCCTAAAGGGTTGGGGGTCAAGTAGCTCCACTGGTCAAGTCACTGAACCGCAAAAGAATAGCCAAGCACAGAACCCTGCCCTAAATGCCTACATCATCGTCAGAACTGTTTTGACAAAATATTTGCTATTTATCTGTGCCAGGATGGAAAATGTATAGCGCTCTTTCCCAAAAGAAATTCATCCCCCAAACCCTCAACCAGCCTACAATGGAGGAATTCGGTGTAATCTTCTCAACATTTGAAGTACAGATGACCAAAACTTCCCTGACTACACTGTGAGTTCCTTTTCATTCACAACTACCAGCCACACAGTGACATATACAGAGAAGGCAAATAAATGCATGCTGAACTAAGCTAATGACTGCTCTCTAACTCATAGATACAAGAACGGATTAAATCCCTTCCACATACTTTTTAGGCCAATCTCATCATCATTTTGTCCCATGCATTCCCACTCCCTCCAATCTGGAATGACATATCACACTCCCTTCTCTGCATGTTTCCTAGTCCTACTTTCCTAACACCCGAGAGAGATGTGCTGCCCAAATTCATCTCTGGTTCGGAACTAGAAAAGATCCAAGGCAGAGGGCAAAAGTGTTAATCCTTTCTTTTACTACAAAGTGAATATTTGACATGGAATAGGGCAGAATCCTCCTTGAAGACAGATTCATGCAGAATTTTACGAATAGTTTCAAATACAGACTTTTGCATGATCCAACTTTAATTTGCTATCCCTTATGAAACGCCCAAATGCATTAACTCGTCAATGATTCTTTGGCATCTTGCCTCTTCACACAGAAAACGGGTGGCTTTTAGAATCATATCCTTGAAAAGAAAATAGTTAAAGCCCAAACTCAATTCAGTTAACAAACAAAACAAAACAAAAAAACAACCTCCTCTATCATGCTCAATCCCCATAGAGTAACCAGTGGAACAGAAAAAAGCTATTATCAAACTGCCACCTCCTGCTCCTAAAACAAAATAAGCCAGCTGGATAGGAGGCAACCAATCCAATAAAACTTAGTTTCCACAGCTGAAAAAAAAAACTTCTTTAACAATACACACTAACTACTCTTAAATTATTTTTTTTGAAAAACAAGTTACTGATCCAACAGCTGGAGATAAAATAGGAAAACTAAAATCAAGTCATTAGTAAACCAGCTTATAAAAATACATACCACAGAAATATGACTGAAAGGGAGGCTGTGGGGCTGCTTTATCTACTGCAAAACTGTGGTGGACCAAAGCTGCCAGAGCAATAATCTACAAAGAAAGAAGGTAAAAAATATCACTTATCAAACACCTACTATGTATTCTACATTCTCACCCAAACCACCAACCTACGAAGAAACATCTTTTAGACCATATGAATGAACACTTTCTACTTTCTTATTATGAAAATATTTCAATGTAACATAAAAAAGTAGCACGAACAGTAACAATTAACCCTTTTCTGAACTAATTATTTTCTGTTCTTAATTTTTTTATTGATACTATGTTATTTTCTGAAAAGCACGTTGACACTGAAATGGGGGAGGGTGTGTTCTGAGGTAACAGAAAACATTTAGACACAATTATATGGAACACCTTGTCCCAAGTAGACTCTAGTGGTAGGATTAATAGGTTGAGGCCTGTTTCTTCCGATGCACACAATTATACAAGCCCCTCCCAGGTGGTAGCACATACTACAATGAGGACAGCAGCTTCTCAAGAAACCAGAGAGGCTAAAAATGGTTTGCTATGTCTCTTGGGTCACGAAAGGGTTAACCCCCATATACCCATCATCCAGATTCAATGATCAACTCATCCATAATCCAAAACACTTCCTGCCACCCCCAGATTATTGTGAAACAAAATCCAAAACTATTTCAAGATGGAGCTCTAAAACATGATTTTTACACCTCTGCACTGTTGATATTTTGGGCCAGATAGTTTTTTGTTGGAGGAAGGTATTCTGCACATCATAGGATGTTTAGCAGCTTCCTGGCCTCCACCTACTAGATGACAGTAGCATTCCCCATATCTCTGTGTTGTTGCTGTGTCTAAAGGTCTCCAGGCACTGCCTGGGAGGGCGTGGAATCTCCACCCCCCATCCCCAATTAAGAACCGTTGTAGCGTAGTGGTTACGAATCGGGCTGCGAACCACAAGGTTCACAGTTCGAAACTACCAGCTGTTCCGCGGCAGAAAGATTGAGGCTTTCTGCTCCCGTAAAGATTTACAGCCTCGGAAATCCTGTATGGGGTCTCTATGTGTCGGAACCAACTCCACGGCACACAGCCACCAATCTAAAAAATAATTTTAAAATAAATATATCATCAGGAGTCCCTGGGTGGTACAAATGGATCACTATGTGAAAGGTTGGTAGCTGAAATCTAACCAGGGTTACCGCATAATTAACTCCATGGCACCGATAGTTTTTTAAAAAATATATACATGTATGTATACAAACACACACATACATATAACTATAATCCAATTATGTCACCTAGTATAATTTATAAGTCGTTTCTTAACATTATTATGTATTCAGACAAGATGCAAAATTTCATGTTCTCACAAATGTATCAACGTTATTTACCGAATACAGTCCAGACTTTGCAAAGCTTGATATGTAAAATTATACGTACAACCCTACATACCTATTAGTTCCCTGCCATTTATTAACTGAAGAACCTGAGCCACTTGTCCTGTAGAATGTCCCACAATATGGGTACCATTGCTTGTATCCCAATGATGTCATTTAACATGTTCCTCTGTCTCTGCAAGAGGGGTCTTCAAAAAGTTTGTGGGAAAATGGAATAAAAAGATAATAGAAATTTTCCACAAACTTTGTAAAGCCCCTCATATTGCCTATAAATTCACAGTCAAACCTGAAGGCTTGATCAAATGAGGTTCCGCTTATTTATTTTTGGCAAGAATACTTCAGACGTGGGACTAAGTACTTCTAACAAAAGACATCTAATGTCTGTCTGGTGATGTCTATTTCAATGGCATTAGCAACCACTGGCAATCACTGCCCGATAGCCATTATTTCACTGGATTTCTTGAATTGCAAAATGCTAAGATTCCATTTTTCCTTCCTGATTTGTAAGCTGGAAACCTGTAAACAGAAACTTTCATCCATATGTTATTTGGTTACATGAGGTACAGTGTGTGTTTGCAAAAGTCAGATGCTTGATTCAATTCCTTTATTTACCAATCTTCAAAATCATGAGTTACTTCCCTAGCTTACTTCACAGGTGACCTGCAGTACACAGGAATGTGAGGGACAGAGAAAAGGTCACCACACTTCTATACAGGGCAAGGCAGCCACCGTTTCAGCCTCTGCAGGCAATAAAGTTGCCGTCCTGACTACTCCACTCTGCTACTGCAGTGTGAAAGCAGCCACAGGCAACACAGACGAGTCCCCACCGCTGTGGGCCAATGAAAGTTTGTTTATACAATCTGGTGGTGGGCTGGATTTGGCCCACTGGCCACAGTTTGCTGATCCCTAGTATAAAAGATCCTAGTACAGAGGGGCACCCAGTTGCTCTGTAGGATAAGTTGTTGTTGTTGTTAAGTGCCGTCGAGTCGGTTCCGACCCATAGCAACCCTGTACAGGGTTTCCGAGGGTGTAAATCTTTACGGGAGTAGAAAGTCTCATCTTTCTCCCGTGGAACGGCTGGTAGTTTCGAACCACTGACGTTAAGGTTCACAGCCCGATTCATAACCACTACGCTGGCTGCAAACCACAAGGTTGGCAGGTTGAGCCCACCAAGGGAGAAAGATGAAGCCTTTTGCTCCTGCACAGATTTACAGGTTCGGAAACCTACTCAGGGTCACTATGACTCGGAACTCACTGCACGACACTTAAGTACAAGTGTAGAGGAAGAAAAATGTTTAACAGCACTATGAAAAAGCAAACAGATACAGACTACGGGACATTCTACAAAACAGTTGACAGTGATTCTTCAATGAGTCAATGTCACTGAAACAACAAAAAACAAATAGCAAAACTAAGAGGGTGAGAGAGCACTGCTTCCAATTCAAAGAGATTCCAAAACATACAAATGAAATGTCCTGTGTGAATCTTCTATGAATCTTGATTCAAATAAACTGTTATTGTTTCAAAACTATTTCTGAGACATGGGATCACATAAATATGGACTGTATTTTATATAATATCAAGAAATCACTGATAATGTTATTACATGTGAAAATTATATAATTATTACATAGGAACTGTGCATGTTTTGAAAGATACATACCAAATGTGCAAGGGTAAAATGACACAATGTCTACCATTAGCTTGAAAATACTCAGGAGGGAAAAAAGGGAGGTGCGAGGGAGCAAGGGGAACAAGTGTGGCACTCTTGCTAGCAGCTGAATATGAGTGACTAGTATATGGGCGTTCATTTTATTATTCTGTGTCCATTTGAAATTTGCCAAAATAAAAACAATTTAAAGCAAAACATAAAAGTCCAACAACGTAATTCTTTAAAAAGAAAAAAAATCCAACACCACATTGAATTCATTTTTCAAAATGAAGTTTGTTTTTAAGAAAACTTCAGGGGATACTTTTGGCTTCAGGTTTAAGATGATCTCAGGGCAATAGTTTCAGGGGTTCATTTACCCTCCATGGCTCCAGAAAGTTCCAGAGTCCATGAGAATTTGAGGCGAATTCCTATTCCTTTCCCTCCAAACAGAATCTAACTTTCAGTGGCAGAAAAGCTGAATAAGTTCAGGTAACTATTAAATCTATAGGCATAGGTCCTAAATCTGTCCTATTTCCTCACTTCATTTTTTTAAAGGCAGGACCTTAGGTACATATATGTAACATATGCTTTCCTCTTCCAAATCCAACTCAGCTTTCAAGAACAGGAGAAAGCTTGTTGTGAGAGTCTCACCTCATTTTGATGTGTCTTAGTATTCTGCATTGTCTTCATGCTGAAGGACATCACCACAAGTGGAGGAGGACCAACATCTTTAATTACATTCACTAGCTCCGGCTTCAAGGCCATTACTTCAAATTTACACCAACTGATTGGCTGATTCAAGAGCTCTGGAAGAGAAAAGATGCAATATATCAATGGCTATTTACTGAAAAAGAAAAACCAGTCCTTGTGATGCAGTAGTTAAGTGCTGAGCTGCTAACAGGTTGGCGGTTCAAACCCACCAGCTGCTCCACAGGAGACAGATGTGGCCGTCTGCTTCCATAAAAATTTTCAGCCTTGGAAACCCTATGGGGCAAGTCTACTCTGTCCAATGGGGTCACTGTGAGTTGGAATCAACTCAATGGTAATAGGATTTGCTATTTACTTATTAATTTTTATGATTAACAGAGATATTCTTCAATCTTGTGTGTATACATGTTTGAAGAATTCAGGATGCGCAATAGGTTTAAACAAAACAAAACATTGCCTTAGATGAAATATAAAGCATTTTAAAGAGAATTCATGAAGACAAAACATCATAGATGCAAGTACTGAAGTGGCCAAATGAACACTATCCACATTATGCATTAAGCAACCCCTCCTTTAAGGAAAGGTGCTATAGGATCAGCACTGGACTGCGAACCAACAAGGCAGCAATTCAAACCCACCAGCTGCTCTTCAGAAACCCTATGCAGGGTCACTATGAATCGGTGGCTACTCGATGACATCTAACAACAACAACAAAGTTCACCATGTGAATAGCTGAGCCATGCTAGCCAGGGCCAAGGTACATACAAACAACACAGCACAATGAGGGGTGCACCCCAAATGGCTGCCTCAGTCAACTGAGGCCTCCCTCAGATTACACTGCCAGGCATTACCTGGATAAAGTCAAATCAAATGTATTCCTTATACTCACTCAAGTAAAATCTTGAAGAGAAAACATAAAAAAGAAAATGGGCACACTGCAACGCTGAATGTCTCTTGTAAAAACTACATTTATTAGAAATCAACTTAGCATTCTGGGCATAAATTGTTGCTTACGTGGATTTTTCACTTCAAGCCAACAAGGTCCTTTGATCTTTCTGTTCATCAAGAACAGTTCCAAGCTAGATGTGTTGGTCCCAAATACATGAGAAAAAGTTTCTCCTTTCAAATCCTGAGGAAGCTGTGGCAATTCAGCCTGAAAAAGGGAAGGAAAAAACAAAACAAACCTCTTTTTGTTTAAAACTATTACTTCACATTTTCCAGTCTATATTTGAAATAAACAAAAGCCTCTCTATGAAGCACTAGAAGAAATCCCTTTGATATATATGAAATGTAATTTACCACAAATGAAATCCAAAACAATTCACAGTAGGAAACAAAAACAATTCACAATGACAAAATAATGTAGCTTGATGACACCCATTAGAAGAAAAATAGGCCAAGAAGCTCCCCCAAAAGAGAATTTCTGACCAGAGCTGTACATGCCTTACTGATAAAGAATCGCCAAGTTAAGTGCCACTCCATTAGAAGAAAGCAAGCAACAGAGTGGCACGCATTCAAAATGCTTCTGTGGTACTTTTCGGCACCATTTCTTAAGTTTCCCTTTTCCAGCACTGTAGGATCAAAACACTAGAACAGAGGTAAAAAAAAAAAAGGCTAAGGTCCAATTAATGAACACCCATGGCAATGGCCTTGCCAGTCACAGGAGAAAGAGCGGCACTATGGCGATGTTATTGACCTCCTCTCTCACCCTTTCCCCTGCTCACAAGGAACACTTCAAGAGATGAGATTCAACTCCATCATGTGCCATTCATTCCACTCGGCAAATAGTGATGCGGTTTCAACTTATTTATTTACAGATGTATACCTGACAGCAAAGGACGGCAACAGAATGTCTGTACTTAAGTTAATTTTATCCATTCAATTCATCAGAACGATAAGCCCACCTCAATGAACAGGAGCCTTGCCAGTACTCCTAATTGAAAGCCAGTTAAAAGTTCAAAGCTAGAGGAATGCCACTGTCAATCCAAAACCAGTCATTTTCTTTCTTTGTTTGACTTACCGAGTATTTAACTTCCAGGTATTCAGATTTTTCTGGAACATCAGGTATCTCAAAAGCATAGTTCTTTTCCACTATCTGGGTACGGCAAGAATTAAAAATCACTCAGCATAAAGCTTTTCATAAATGAAATCAACAAGTATTACATACACAGCTTACATTCCTGCATTTTATCATCACAGACACAGCAGCCGCATCAAACACAAAGGTAAATCAAGCCAAAAAGCATCCTTTTCCTTTTCACCTAGGACCAAAGCAGCCAGTGGACCCTAGAAAGCCTGGAAGCACTTGTACTGAAGAGTGGCAACAACAGATTTAAAATGATCATGGTATCAATGCTTTCATTCATTTAAGCAACTCTATTTTCCAGGAAAAAGTAGTAAGTGTTATGATTGTACAAGTGTTATGACTGTCAAAAAGTTTTGCTACTAGGGTTCTAGTTCACGTATGCATAGATTTATTCCAAACAAAACGTGTTTCAACACACCCCTGTCATCAGTGGATGGCTGCAGACAAGTTCTCTCAGTATTACACTGGTCTTAGTCTTATTAGGGTATCTTAAAAAAAAAAAAAACCAGATCCAATCAAAACAGTGGCGGCTTCTGAGGGGATTTGCTGAGCAAGTTCAACTCAAGGCAAATAGGTCTACTCACAATGTGATGGCAACTGTGCTTAGGATCCCAAAGGGGTGATCATCTTGATAGGTATTTTCAAAGGACACAGGGCCATAATGGGACTTATTATGAAGAATTTGGGGGAACATTTCAAATTGTATTGGTGAGTACAAGGCCAGGAAAGTTGCACTGAGGAATTTTTCTCATCACAACAATACATCTGCTCATTCTTCGAGGGTAGCAAGGGATACCCTAGGAGAATTTCATTAGAAAACCTTACCCCATCCACCCTATACTCCTGATCTTTCCCCTTTAACTTCTTTATGTCCCCAAAACCAGAAAAAAAAAAAATCAAAAAGGAACACAATTTGAGTCCCCTGAGGATGTCAAAACTGCAATTTTGATATGTTGTAAATGGAAGAGCGCAGAATTCTTCGGGGAAGGGTTAGAGAGATGAAAACAGCAACTTCAGAAGTGGATAGACCTAGATGGAGGAGATGTCGAGAAACAATAACTTCACATTTTTAGATTTTTTTTCCCAAAAAGGATTCTATGATTTTGTAGCAATACTTTGTGATTTACCCTTGTAGTTTACATTTACTGAGTACTTGCTATGTGCCAAGGATTTTTCTACTCATTTAATATGAATTAATCGGACTCTTCCAAGTAGTCTTGAAATACATACTTTTTTTTTTCCAGATAAGGAACCAGGCAGAGCGAGGTCACTCAGCCCTCATCCAAGGTCCTACACTAACAAGCAGAAGGGCTAGGGCTCCCAGCAGCTATGGGCTTCACTATGGCACCGTACTGCTTCTCAAAGTTTAAAGGCATGAGCAATCAGCCATAACTAGAGCTCAGTGAGCTCAAAGACTTTTTTTTATAGTCTTCTTCTCAGCAACTCAATCCTCCCTTACTATGTTGTTGTTGTTGTTGTTGTTAAGTGCCATCGAGTCGGGTCCGACCCATAGCGACCCTGTACTATAAGCACTATTAATAGACAGTATGGGCAGTGAGCTACAGATTCCCAAATTATGGCTGGAGGCATCAACTATCTCATTAAAACAAGACAACGTCTTATGTGTCATATAAATAAAAGACTTTTGTTTTACCAGAAACAGCCTCATAGTCCCTAACTTTAAAAGTTAAAATCTTACTTAACTCTTACTTGGCACTAATATAAATAAGACCACAACCATTTCTTCCATTTCAGAATAAGAGCACAAGACCTGCTGTAAAGCACTAGAGCCAACTGATTTGCTCTGTACTATCTTCCTGGAATCCTGGAGTGGCGCTGTAGGATCAGCACTGGACTGTGAGCCACAAGGTTGGCAGTTCAAACCCACCAGTCACTCTATGGAGATCCAGTATAGGGTCGATACAAATCAGAGCCGACTTGACGGCACTTAACAACAATCTTCCTATCCACACTAGATTTTTGAACAGCAGCTGGTAGGTTTGAAGTGCCAACCTTGTGGTTAGTAGTCCAGTGCTTACCCTACAGCACATCAGGACTTCCCTATATACACTAATGAGCATTATTTTATAAGCAGTTTAAAGAAAAGGAAAAAAATGGTTTTCCAAATCTAATACATTGTTTTGACACTGATGCCTACAGTGAACTATAGCTATGCAGAGAGCATTTGGTACTAAACAAGAGATTCAACAGCGATTTGCTAAATCAGGAAATAAACAACTAATAAATAGAGCTGGGGAAAAACTCCATCACCAAATACAAACCTTGGACTTGAATTTCATCAGTTTATATTTCACTGCTGTTTTCTCATCAAATTCGTCATAAACATCCTTCATTGTAACTGGAGTTCCGGTTTCTTTCCCTGTATTTTTATCAATTTTCTGTTCTCCCATGGAGAGGGCAGTGAAGAGGGAAGAAAAACAATCTGTGTATAAGATCTTCTCAACCACCAAAACCTAAGTCCACATCAATTTCCATGATTACGCTTTTAACCATTGAAATGGCACAGTCTTCTAGGTGAGTTCACAGATACACACAGACCCCACCCCCACCCCCAAAATGTAATACGGTCAAACCCAATGCCTAATTCCTCCCAATGGCATCATAAAAGCAAATCAGGGAGATAAAGATTATCAGTCCTTCACAATGGGAGAATAAGTATTACAGATCCTGACCAGGAAGTTTCACAGTTCAGTTTAGATAGGGAGGAGATGAGATTGGGAGGAACAAATGGTACTGACTTTGTTCAGTGGTCACAGAGGGAATGGTACTGCTTCCTATTAAGCACAAATGTGGACACTGGGTCAGATACTACATCACAGTTTAGAGTTGTATCCGCTCAATCCCAATTCTGGAAATGAGGGGTGGGGGAAAAGATAGCATAATATACTAAAACTCAGACACTTTTACTCGCCACAAGTTGAAAAACTAGGTTTTCATTTCTCTAACTTCTCTCAACCTCTTCAGAAACCCTGTACAGGGTCATGAGTTGAAATCGACTCCATAGCACCTAACCATCACCAATAGAGATGCTACAGGAGCCCTGGTGGCACCACAATTAAGCACTCAGTCGCTACTGAAAGGTTGGCAGCAGGAGAAAACTGGGGTAGTCTACTTCCATAAAGATTTCAACCTTGGAGACCCCATCGATATGCACTGGAATCCACTAGAAGGCAACAGGTTTTGGTCCTTAAAAGAATCTTCAGGTCTGTGATGATTTCTAGAATTGGTGTAGGAAACGGTTGGTGGAAGAACACAGAATGCATGGCATACATATTTACTGAGAACTAAAAACAAACCATTTCACGGGGAAGGAAGTAGAGAGTTCGTTCAATGTTTTTCACCATGACACAGCAGCTCACATGGGTTCTGGCTGATTCAATCCAAACTTTGCCAAACAGAAATACCACACCTGAAGGATTAAGGGAAAACTATAAGAAACACTTCCATTACATCAAACACACTGAACATGCCTTCATGATAACTCATTATTGGCAGCACATTTCTAACTGCTCCCATTCCCCAAGACCAATTTCTTTCATCAGTACTTATGTCAAACAACACTATCATGACGATTGGAACATACAACACTATCATGGTGGTGAATTATGTTAATCATTGGATGAACAGGAGATAGAATAAATCTCCAACTTCTATACAAATAGTTTCCCTAAAACCAGAATTACCCAAATTAAGAGAAATCAAAACAGCAAATTATTCTCCAATAAATGACATATTTCAACTGCTGACGAGAACTTACAAATCTGAGAATATGAAACTGAATTCCTTCTTATAATTCTTATTTACTGATAAAAAGTTACATCTATTAGAACTGTGATGTTTTTCTATACATGAAATTGTGTTGGTAAATGTAATTCATCTCATACATCTTATTCCATGGAGTCCTTGTGTGGTGCTGTGGGTTAATGTGCTGGACTGCAAAGTGGGTTTGGACCACAAGGTCGGCAGTTCAAACTCACCAGCTGCTCTTTAGAAACCCTATACAGGGTCACTATGAATCAGAACCAACTGGACAGTACTTAAAAACAACAACAACAATTAAGATTCTATTATTATTTCACCCTTTCTACCACACAGGTTACTTAAGACATCTGGCTAGATGTCACTTAGAATGTTCTTTTCTCTTCCATTTCAGCTTAAATGGTTTAGCAACCAAAGCAACAGACACTCTCCTTTTGAGACCCCCTAAGTAATGTATACCACAAAATTTAAAAAAAACACTCCTTTCTAGACATCAAGTCATGGTTCATGAAAATAAGCAAAGAAACTCCCAAGATATGATAGTCAACCCAAGAGATGACCACTGTGCAAACTTCTGAGCCCCATGAATAATAATTAGCCAGCAGGAAGTCAGCATAGCCAAGCAACACAGCCCCTTTATCTGAGACACTAAGAACGTTCTGGCCCATGCGAAGGCGACTACGCACAAGGGTGATAACCCCAGCTTCACAAGACAGCTCATCAAGTGCTTTCTTTTTGTCATTTGTCCTGCTAGAAATAACACCATCTAAGAATTTTCATTTCTGCAGATGATTAAAATTCTCAAAAGAGTTATGTGATTTTTCAGCTGTGGGGAAATGAGGGGAGGGGAGGACTTGTGGAGATGATTTGGGGGGAAAAAAAACAAACAAAAAAACACAGTAGCTCAGAAAATTAAAAGTCATCTCTCACAATAGTTAAAAGATGAAAAAACAAAATTCCATGCAAAGAAAAATATAAAGACCCTAATATTGGATTCAAAGATTCAAATAGCTCATTTTACAGTCAAACTAATATCACACTTCATGCAACACATTTGACACTGTTTATGCCTCATTTGCCACAAAAAGATCATGGTAAACAAAGATTACATTCCCCCCAAAGTTACTAGCTGAAACCAGGTGCAGTCAGGATTATTCAACCTTGAAAAAGTCATAATGAGGACAGGATATCTTCCCATATGCAAAGAGTAAGATTCTTTTCATAATTATGGAGCATTCAGCAACAACTGACTGACTTAGAATCTGTAAGAAAGTGAGAAACAATAACAGGGTCTTTGGGAGTACTTAGTTTATATTAGCAGCATTGATTCACCAAGGCTCAGTGATCGTTACCTGCTATCACGACGAAACTGTTCAGCCCTCTGAGATTAAAGGACTTTAAAAAAAGAAAATCTTATTTAACCCGTTGGCATCAATCACTGAGAGCGGACCAGGGGTGAGATGCCTTGAGCTCTGCCACTAAAAAACTTGGCCACTTTATCTTTCCAAGTCTCTGTTTCCTCATCAAAGTTCTCATCTCCCATTCAGGAAACACAAGCCTGATTCTCAATCATTCACCTCCGGCATGTTGTTATGATATTGAACATGTTTCAGCAGAGCATCGAGACTAAGACATACTGGGAGGAAGACCTCGTAACCTACTTTTAAGCCAATGAAAACCCTATGAATCACAATCTGCAAGCGATCATGGGAATGGCACATGACTGGGCAGTGCTGTGTTTCCTTGTGCATGGGGGTTACCATGAGTTAGGGGCCGATTCAAGGGCATCTAACAACAACATAAATAAGTAACTAGACTAGATGATCTTTGAGGCCTTCTCCAGCACTAGAAATTGCCTTTTACCTTAGCTTTGGAATAACAAACCAATCAGAGATTGAGATCTCTTTCAACTGTAAAATAGTTCCCATAATTGGTTGAAAAGGTCTGTCCACAACTATGATCAGTATCAGAAATTCAATAACTATATCATAATAGGTGGTTTTATAAATACAGTTGTGCTTCAATGCCTCAATCTTATCACCTATTACTACAGACCAACACTATCTGATACAAATTTCTGCAATGTCACAATTGTCCAGTATGTGTGCAGCCCAATATGGTAGCTATTAGACATATGTGGTGATTGGTGGTGAAGTACCGTTGAGTCAGTTCCAAGTCACAGCGACCCTGTATACATAGATCAATTAATTGGTTTCCAAGGAGAAGCTGGTTAGCTTGAACTGCCGACCTTGCAGCTCAAACGGCTTTGCAGTCTGGTGCATTAACCCACAGTGCCACACCAGAACTCCCTAAAATGTGACTAAAGGCTGAGAAATCAACATTTTCTTTTCATTTAACTTTAATTAACATTAAAGAGCTACGTTTGGCTAGTGCCTACCATGATTGACAGTGCAATTCTAGCCCCCGCCCTGCAAAATGATGCTATTTACTAAATTAGAGCATCAATCAGTAAACAAAAAATGACAATATTAAACTCATTTCACGCAGCAAAGAAAGCAGGCTTATTGCTTATTAACGTTCTAATCCTTGGCAACTGAAACATGATGCCATGTTTCTCTTCACAAAAACCCAGCTTCTTGGATTATTTGCTCAGCATACAGGATGAATAAGTATGGTGAAAGAATACAACCCTGTCGCACACCTTTCCTCATTTTAAACCATTCAGTGTTCCCATGTTTTGTTCGAACAACTGCCTCTTGGTCCATGTACAGATTCTTCATGAGCACAAGTGTTCTGGAATACTCAAGACTTCTCAACGTTGTCCAGAGCTTGTTATACAGGGAACTATTTCTGAGGAGCTGGGGCTTCATGCTGTAGGCAGTAAGGAGCCACTGAAGGTTTTTTGTTTTTTTGTTTTTAAATGAGGGAATGACATGATCAGAGTTAACTCTTCTGATCTTATGATCAGTCACTCTAGAAGTAAAGTGAAGGATGATACATAGATCAATTAGTTGGTTAACCGATGTTTTCAGTAGGCAAGATGGGGTCGGGGGCTCCATGTGACGGAAATAAGGAGGAGAAAACCGACAAGCTTTCATGAGGAAAGTGAAGGAAAAGGGGAATCAAGGATGGCTCCCAGGTGTGTGGATTGGATGGGACTCGTAATCAACAGGAACTACAACACTGAGCAACAGCAGCAAAGCACAAAACAGCAGCATTAGTGTGGATGGGCCCACCCAGTTACACAGCTCCAAGGAGGGCCAGTCAAAATATCGGGCTCCAGCAGAGACGATGACGTGGAGAGATGGAGTGGCTGGGAACTCTAGACCCAGAGAGGGAGAAGAGCTGTGTGCTGACAACCAGGGGACAGGCTTGTGGGGTGTACCATTTGGTTGGTTGATAATGCATGGAGGGGATTGTAACCATGGCAATGTAACAATATACGATAAGATGAATGTAAATTAATGTGAATCACATAATTTACAATAAAACATTAAAAAAAAAAAAAATACCAGGCTCCAGGGAAATTACAAGAAAATGGTGACGCCTAAGTTGTACAACGCGGCAGCCCTGGGTTTGGGCAATGGATGGGAAATAACTTGCATGGCCTCAAGTAACCATACATGTAAGCCTACCTCCCAGCAGCAACAAAGAAGTAGTCAAACCACCTCCCCCTAGCAAAACATAGATAAGAAACAATAGCATTTCTGTAATTGATTATAGCTTTACTTAAGAAACCAACACATGGCAGTTTGCTATTCAAGTGGCTCTGCTAGCATCTCTACACATTCGATAAACTCAAGTATATTAATGTACTGTGGGACCTCCCCTTGGGGAGACCACTAACATTTATTCAGTTAAAGTCAATGCCTTTAAGGTACCTTTAAGGTAAATCTGGCCTTCAAGTCTGATGATGAGCACTTAATCTCATCATTCACTGGTCTTACTAACATCTAGAGACTCCATCTATGGTCACTGGGTGTGGCCTCCAGGAAATCACTTTGAGAAGTACACAGTTTGCATCTCCCTCGGATCCAAAAAGGACGGAAATAAAGGCAACTCTGTTTAAGGGAGTATATTAATTCCCAAGACCTTGCCATGCCCACTCCCAGTGTTGTTGCTGGTAAGTGCCATCGAGTCGGTTCCAACTCATAACAACCCTATAAAGGATCTACAAGGAGAGGCTGGTGAGTTTGAACTGCCAACCTTATTCAAACCAACCTTGTGGTCCAGTGCTTTATCCCACAGTGCCACACCAGGATTCCATTCCCAGTGTACCAGGGTTCAAAGTGGGACAAAAGGAAAGTGGGCAGCCTCCTGGCTTTTTCTGAGTCAAGAATTCACATTATGGGCTCGTTAGGAGAACCTGGTGAGAATCACTCTAGATTCCCCTTTTCCCTTAACCCTCACATCCAATCCATCAAGTTCCTATCAAAGTATCTGGCACATAACAAGTGTCGATACAAATTTGCTGAACAAGGGAATTTATTAATGATTGATTCCATTTAAAGTAAATTCCTCTAAGTTCATACACATCATCAATGAACTACAAAACATGTTCCAAAACCATGGAAAAGGCATCTTTAAGGATTCTTACCCCATAGCTCCACTCCATCAGGGTGGCTCATGTATGCATATAAGCGAGGGCAGAGTCTGTCACAACTATAGTCGTTAAAGGCTAATACATGATTACCTGGTTGGTTGTACTGATCTTCATAAGCATCCAGCCAATAAAACTGGAACACTTGATCCTCATCTGCCCCTTTAACCAGTGGGAGGTGACTGGAATCAACCTGAACTTCCTGAGCTAAGAAACAGCTTTCATCTTCCTCATCAATGCCCCAGCAAGAAGCATCTGGGAGAAAACTTCCTCTGCAGAAATCACATTTTAAACAAATAGTTTTAAATCCAGCAGAATAACTATAGCACTATTGGCTAGAAAAGTCATAAAATGCTTACAAGGATGTCCCAGTCTCATTCCCAGGATCTGCCGTGAGTTTCATCCCCTCTGCTGGCTCACACGTTTGGTCCCGTGTCTTGGCAGTCACAGGTGTCATAGTTGCCTCCTCAGTTTCCATAGGCTCATCAAAGTCACCATCTTCAAAATCCATTGCCCCGGGCTCCTCCTTGTCTTCTGTACATGTGGCCTGCACTGTGTCTCCTGTAGTCATCATCAAACGTTCACCTAACTTACTCCTGCCATGGAGTACAACGGCCCCCCCCTCTTTTCCTGCTCCACAGTAGTATTTCAATACCCATATCCCAAATGGATTTGTGTCAACTCGACCACTACATATTCACATCTGTCCCTGAAACTTGCTCTCACAATACCTTCAAAACCTCGGCAACTTCCACCTTGTCAGGGCCCCCTTCTGTGGCAGCACTTTGCGACTGTTCAACACCCTTGGACTTCTGCCTGACATTAGACTTACCGGGAAACTCAGCACATTTCAGAGGAGCAGGTGTTGGTGGGAGTTCCTTCCTTAAGACAGGGGAAGCAGTTTTTCCTGAAACGACTGCCTATAAACAGTTTTAAATGTTTAGTCAGTTGGGCCTACAAATATGTAACTGGTCTACAATGACCAGAGATCAATTTATGAAGGATTTCTGGATGAATGTAACAGTTTCAATTATTTAATTGCTACAGGAGCCCTGGTGTGGCGCTGGAGGATAACGCACTGGACCAAAAGATCAGTTTGATACTCGAGGTCAGCAGTTCAAATTCACCAAGCCACACTTCAGAAACCCTATACAAGGGTCTCTATGAGTCAGAACAACTCAACGGCTCTTAACAACAGCAACAACATGGGTGTACCCCCACACACCCAAAAAAAGTGTTTGTGGGAAGAAATTTATTGCATTTAACACAGTTGTAGTACATAGAAGAAAAACATACTAGTGGCTACAAATTTTACTATGAAAAAGTCAATGCATATCGATGAAATACATGAAATTCTGTAACGAAATGGGAGTCCTAAATTAAAACATAAATAAAAAACAAATTCAAAGGCATTTCCCTGACATAGAAAACAAAATAACTTAAAACATAAAATACATAAAGATGGAAGGTATTTCTACACATTTTACCTTGGGAATGCGCACAGAAAATGGATTAAGCGAAGCTCCCGTGGATAATTTCTTCTTCACTACCATTGCAGGTGAGACAGTTATTGGAGAGTTCTAGGAGGAAGAATAAGACAGATGCTTTCTCTACCATGCTTGGTTTACCACAAGACAGAAAAAGTACATTTCTTTACCCATTGAAGTCCCATAAAAAAAAGCATTTTTTCCCCCTTCCCTGCTCCCTTCCCCCCAAAATCCATGTTCATGCACTATGGTTACTATAGCAACAATATTACAAAATCACTAGAAAATCAGAATAGGTATTGAATCCACCCATCACAATTTTTTTTGTAAAGAAACCAAACATATTTTTCACTGTGAAGAAAGAACTACATGGTGTTGGGGTCAGTCGTTTTAATCAACAGCCACCGAGAAAGAATGACACACTTCTAAACAAGAGCTCAGTCCAAATGTATAGTAGTCAAATTTCACACTCATGGTACAGGGACAGTTCACTGACTCTTCCTTCACTCCCCTTCAGAATGAAGACAAGGATCTCATGCCTGACTGTGCAGACTGACAGGCTTCAATCTATTTAGGGAAGACAAACTAAAGCAACTCAACACAAGCAGGGTGCATTCACAGAACTGACTCCTTGTAACAAACACCCACACAGCTCTAGCTACATAACCACATAGCTTGTAACAGCTGGAAACTACTCACCTAAAATGGCGACAAGAAACCAACTGAAAGATTCCATCTTTTAAAAAATGTTTCCAGGTTGGTGGTATCGTTTCTTTTTTTTTTTTTTAATTCTAGCAATGGTTTGTTTTTATAATTACTGAATTGTCTCTTCAGCTTATGCCCCCTGCATATTTTATACCTCCCAGAGATTCACTCACCTTTGTGCTCAGATCCTGCAGAAGGTTCCCTAGCAGATTATCCTTGGACAAGTCCACAGCTTTCTAGAAATTATAAAAGGAAGTTGGAATGAGAAAGTACTGCATTTAAAAATTTCACCCAAGCCTCTTATAGGTAAAAAGAAGAAGACTAGTCAATTCTTGTCTCTTCATTCCTCACTCTGAATGCTGATCTACTATTCACAGATTTTAATAACCACTGTGTATGTAATGAGGGAGATTATAGCCCTAAATCCACGGCTCCTGTTCTCAATTTTCATCATATTCCATAATCTTCATCTTCATTATTGAAATTTAACATATCAAGTCAGATCTTCTGTTCAACTTTTTTTTTCTACCTCCATGTTTCCAACTACAGAAGTTGCTGAAATTCACCTAGAAATCTACAACAAATTTAGAGTGCTTAGGAAAATATTTCTCATTCGAATATGTACTGAGCACTTATTATTAACAAAAAATTACATTCACTCCACACCACACAGCAAGACAAAATATAAGAAAACCACAAAACTCACATCTGCAGTTTTCTTTCCAGCACTAGCCATGAACATTGACTTGATATCATTCGGTTTTGTAACTGCAGCCTTCTTTACATTCCGCTTCTCTTTGTTGGCTGCTTTATTATTCTTTCCTGTTCAAATAGAAACTATTTAGAAATGTGTACCACCAAATATTAAAACTGTAAAAGTTGTATGGTATATTTAAGGACGACAACCGAAAAATACGAGTAGCCTGGCTGCTGAGGCTACTTATGTACAACCAAAAACCTCATAGGATTTGATTTCTCAGTTAGAAGGCTTAGGGTTATGATTTCATGTGCTATTGCAGTTAATTGGCCTAATAACATGCGTAATGCTTCTTTTCTATCACCTGGTTTGCTGCCTAGCACCTGGGGCCAACCAAGGCACAACAATTGGTCTATATTCACCTGAAGCAACCAAGGAAGGAGAATCAGGAACAGGAGGAGGATATAGAATGTGCAAATAATTCCCTCCATGAGACCACTAATGAACAGTGTGATCAAAGATTCTATAGGAGAATCCTGATAAAACAGGGAAAATGCAGAACAGAATCTGAAATTCTCATAACCTCTAGACTTTCTGGAGCCACTGAAGGTTAGACAAACTAATGAAATTAGTGCCCCTGAAGGCTTCTTAAAATCATAAACCAGTTTAGGTTAGCTAGTAAAAAAAGGTCTGTGTTAAGCATTATGCTCTTTTAAGACAACAGCAACTTGAAGGATTAGCTAGGACCCTTAGGGGGCAGGGAGTTTGTGCTAATGGAGGAGGAACTCAGAAAAGGAAAGTGAAAATGGTTGCACACCTTGAAGAACATATTTAGTGTCCCTTAACAATACATGTACAAACTGTTCAAATGGTGTATGCTTTACTACATATACAGTCTCAGCAACAGAATAAAAACATTTTTCAAATTCAAAATGTAAAACTGAAAGCCAAGTCAAGTCACCTCCTCTTCTCTGTATATGAGAATTTGAGAAGAAAAAAAGTAAGAATTCAAAAAAATTTAAATACAGTAATTTAATCTAAGTACGTATGAAGGAAGAATTAAAAAAAAAAGCTTAGCTCAGGCCAACTGACTTTGGCTAAATGTTATTAAGTATACTGATAATGTATCAGTTGCTGAGATTGTTGGGTACTATCATGTCAAAATCAGTTAAATATCAGCAAACATTTGTGATTACTTAACTACTACTGTTGTTGTTGTTAACTGCCATCAAGTCCGTTCTGACTCACATAGCGACCCTGTATATGGAGCTCTGGTAGCGTAGTGGTTACGAATCGGGCTGCTAACCTCAAGGTCGGCAGTTCGAAACTACCAGCTGTTCTGTGGGAGAAAGAGAAGGCTTTCTGCTCCCGTAAAGATTTACAGCCTCGGAAATCCTGTGCAGGGTCGCTATGGATCAGAACCGACTCCACGGTACTTAACAACATAGGGTTTCCGAAGGAGCTCTGGTAGCATAGTGGTTAGCTTAGGGTCAGCAGTTCTAAACTACCAGCCGTTCCACAGGAGAAAGATGAGGTTTTCTGCTCCTGCAATGATTTACAGCCTTGAAAACCCGATACAGGGTCACTATGAGTCGGAACAGACTCCATGGCACATAACCACCACCATACAGTTTCCGAGGAATGACTGGTGAATTTGAACCATCAAACCGACCTTGAAGTTGAATGCTTATCCTACAGCACCACACCAGGAGTACTCTTAATTGCTATAGCTAGTGTGAATAAAAGCTTATAAAGGTGAAAATTTTCCCCCACAGAAATAAAAAGATATAACCAATCTGGAATCAATAGATTAGCCTACTAGCCTTCAAAAAGTCATCTCATTGTCTCTATACTAAATCTGACAGAAACACTGAATGATAAAGAAATAGGATTACCAGTTATGACACTAGCACCCTAATTCTCATTTTATAAGGAACAGTAACCAGATACAATATGTCATATCAATACTATACAGCACACACACATTTGCTCATTAAATAACTTTTGTCATGTGACCTCTTACAGTCATGTGTAAATCACAAACTTTTTGACTTATTGTTTCTTTTATTCTAGCTTTCTGATTCATCCCAAAGCAGACTCTACCTCCCAAAACTTAGAATGAATAATTAAAAATTTTGTGGTAATAACATATGAATAAGCCAGATGAATAGACTATAAAGATCACAAAAAAACACAATTGCTTATGCAAATTCAGCATAAAATAAAGGTAGCATCTCATATCAGTGGGGAAGAGCTGGATAGTTAAAGTAAGTAGTACTGGCTAGCCATATGGGAAAAGGAATCTAGCAAAAATATGAAATGGATTAGAGATCTAAATGGGAAAGAAAAATATTATACAACTACTTTAAAAAGGAAAATTCATTTAGAAGCTACATGTGAGGAAAATCTCTAATTCAAAATACATTTGTAACATGATAAACAAGTTAAAAGATAAAGTAGGAGCCCCGGTGGTGCTGTAAGATAAGCAATGGACTACTAACTTCAGGTCAGCAGCACAAACCCACTAGCTCCTTCATGGCAGAAAGATGAGGCTATCTGTTCCCGTAGAAATGTACAGCCTCAGAAACCCTATACAGGGTTGTTATGAGTCGGAATTGATTCAATGGCAGTGGTTTGGGTAAAAGAAAGTACTTGCAACCTGTATCACTCACAGTTAAAGGCACACAGGAAATTGTGCCTTTCCCTGGGGTATATATTGTCTTAAGTATTTTCTCCTACCCAAACCCACTGCCATTTAGTCGATTCTGACTCATAACAACCCTGTATGTATACATATGTATTATCATTTTTTTTTTATTTTTTAGGAAAAGGACCAAAAGCCCAAAAGGAAAATAAGCAACAAACAACTCACATTTAAAAAAATTTTAAGACATGTAAGCAAGGTATTAGTTTTATAAAAAGATGCTTAACTTCATGTGTAAGAGAAATGGTAAACCAAACCAAAATGCCATTTGTCACATATCAGAGTGGCAAAACTTCAAAAGCCTGACAACACACTCTACTGGCAAGGCTGTGGAGAAAGACATACTCTCAAACATTGTGCATGGGAGTGTACAGGAGGGCAGGCCCTGTGGAGAAGAATTTGGCAATATCTAATGTGCTGGACTACAAAGTAGGTTTGAACCACAAGGTCAGTGGTTGAAACACACCAGCTGCTCCTTAGAAACCCTGAGGCTGTAAATTTCTACGGGTCACTATGGGTCAGAACCAACTCAACAGCACTTAACAACAACAAAACAAATCAAAATGATGTGGCACTGCGGGTTAATGAGCTGGACTGCAAGGTTCGTTTGTACCATGAGGTAAGCAGTTCAAGCTCACCAGCTGCTCCTCGGAAACCCTATACAGGGTTGCTGTGAGTAGGAACTGACTCGATGGCACTTAACAACAAAAACAATCAAACTCTGAGTGCATTTGCTCTTTGAGTCAGCAATCTTACATACAGGAATTTCCCCTGAGAAAAACACCATATGCACAGAGCTATTCAATGCAATATTGTTTGTGATAGCAATGTGCATCTAAGGAAACTATGGTAAAGTCATAAAAGGAATATTACATAGCTATTTAAAAGTGAGGCAGCACAGGAGGCACTCATCTCTGCCAAGAAACTTGGAAGACAACTAACTACCTGGCCAACTGACTGGAAGAGGTCCGTATGTGTGGACCATTCCAAAGAGACGTGACCTAACAGAATGCGGAAATCATTGGACAATATCAATAATATCACATGCAAGTAAAATTTTGCTAATGATAATACAAAAACAGCTATAACCATACATTGACAAAGATCTGCCAGAGGTTCAAGTCAGATTCAGAAGAGAACGTGGAATGAGGGATATCATTGCTAATGTCAGATGGATCTTGGCTGAACTCAGAGAATACCAGAAAGATGTTTACCTGTGTTTTACTGACTAGGCAAAGGCTTTCGAATGTGTGGATCATGACAAGCTACGGACAAGATTGCGGAGAATGAGTATTCTGGAGCATGCAATTGTGTTCACGAGGAACCTGTATATAGATCAAGAGGTAGTTGTTTGAACAGAACAAGAGAACAGCGAATGATTTAAAATTAACAAAGGTGTGAGCACCAGGGTTGTATTCTTTTACCATACTTATTCAATCTGTATGCTGAGCAAATAATTTTTTGCAAACGGAAATGCAAGATAAAGCAGAAACTAATACAAATGAGTAATAGGATATCCACCACTCAGCTGTCAATTTGTCATCCTGTGGTAGCTTGCATGTTATGTTACCGTGATGCTGGATACTATGCCACCAGAATTTCTAATTATCAGCAAGATCATCCATGATGTGTTTCAGCTGAGCTTCCAGACAGACTAGGAAGCAGGACAATTTACTTCTAAAATATTAGCCTGTAAAACCTTATAAATAGCAGCAGAACACTGTCTGGTATAGTACTAAAAATGAGTCCCTACTGGTGTGGTACTGTGGGTTCATGCGCCAGACCGCAAAGCAGTTTGAACTGCAAGGTCGGCGGTTCGAGCTCACCAGTTGCTCTCCAGAAACCATATATACAGGGTCACTATGGGTCGGAGACGACTCGACAGCAGTTAACAACAACAACAGTTTCCAACTGCATTCAAAATACAACTGGGGAAAAGCTGTCTCCTCAAAATAGTCACCCATAATGATGTGGGTGGAGTAAAGCTTTTGTGACCTACCTTTGCTGATGTGGCATGACTCAAAATGAGAAGAAACAGCTGCAAACAGCCATTAATAATCAGAATATGGAAGGTACAAAGTATGAATCTAGGAAATTTGGAAGTTACCAAAAATAAAAGATTGATATACCCTGTATGGGGTTTCTGAGGCTGTAAATTTTTCCAAGAGCAGATAGCCTCATCTTTCTTCCATGGAGCAGCTAGTGGGTTTGAACTGCTTGCATTTAGTAGTCTAGTGCTTACCCTACAGTGCCACAGGGCTCCTTATCCAAGGCATTAGTGAACAGAAATGGACTGTTATTAACCATTTTGAATCACACAATCATGGTCTATACTATTCTGGGGAAGACAAATTGAAGAGGAACGTCATCACATTCATTGTCAAAAAGAATATTTCAAGATCTATCCTGAAGTACAGCACT